CGATGGTCACGCGGACCCCAACCAGGTAGTCTGCATCTACCAACATAGCTCAAACCAGAAGTTAGTGACTTTGTCGACTAATGATGACCACGCCTAACTTTCTTCCAACCATCCCCAAAACTAGCTGGCATTGTGCGTCGTGGTAATCGGTGTTCAGGCATACGTAACACGTGGCCCAATCATCTCAGTCGATGAAGATTGATAACCTCATCAACTGATTTACCATCATTCCCTAATACCCTACGTTTAACCTCACTAATACTTACCCGATGATCCTAACAGATACCAGCAATATTTCTAAGGTATGTGTTATCAACTACTAGTAACTTCCGAGTATCTTCTAATCTTAATGGCCACGTTTATCATGTAACAATCTAATTCTATTCAAAATAATCCACAGATTCTGATAGTTAATTTACCACCCAGAACGCACACAGACATATAGAAACATTAACTCCGCCTGGAGCCCCTCTAGGGTTACTGCCGGTCCCAAGACCGAATAAAGGAGGAGGGTTGGGCATAAAGTTAATGACCCCATCTCGTAGAAAACTAATTCGCTAAAAGTACACTAACCAGAAAAAATAATTCAAATCATTTAAACTCTATCCTGGGAGTTAGAAGGTTTTCATTTAGAAGAGTTATGTTGTCTCATGGTGAAAAACGAGTTCTTTCATAAGTCACGAGTCTGATATCCTTTCTGACATCCACAGCAACTATTAATTTAGTTTCATGGAATGCTCGTACAATGTGGGAGATCAGGAGAGTCATCTAAATTGCTTCACAGACACACATACATACACTCTTCATCTCTCTATTTTCATTGTTCAAAAAATGGGTAACATTTCATGTTTTCTAGCACTACCATAGTTGTGTATTCACTGAATTGACCATGTGTTTATAAAGAAGTTTAGACTGTTAACCGTTACTAACCGCTAAAGTTGGATCAAATTTTAATGGTAACCATTCAAATACAATTCAATTGATGGAGTTTTGTTCTCTAAGCCGACGTTTATGTTGCTGATGATGAAGTTGTTCACAAGAACGATGAAAGCTCCACGACCAAAACCATCCAGCTCAGAGAACAGAACTCCAACAAAATCATCCATCTACCTGAGCTATAAATCTTCTCCACCATCTCACAATTCAATCGATTCATCATATCTGACATCCACTGTATCTCAGTTCGTTTATATATCAGCTTTTTGTATTTTGTCGAGTACAATGAATTATTTTTTCTAATTAGCGTTTTTTAACAAGTTAGTGACGCAGGAAAGCACCCAACTGCATCACAATGGAGGCCCTCAATTGGAATCCTCAAGACCTAAGGGGAAGAGGAAGACTAAAGAACACATTACATCAAGAAATGGAGGCAGACGTGAGAAGAATGAACAGAAATTGCATAAACTAGTAAGGAAGGCCCAGGACAGAGTGAGTTGGAGGATGCTGGTTGGCTGCCTATGCTTCATTGGGAGTCACAGGTGTAATGAATGAAAAGAATGAATAATTATGTCCTTGCCATCAATAAAAAAAACTGCATTTTAATACATAGAAAGTTACTATTAACAAGTTATTACTTTGTCTTTTAATCTAATATTGGTTAGCCTTTTTTGTGTATTCAATTCCTCCTGTAGTGAACGAGAACACAAGCGGGGACAATCGAATGTATTTGAATACAAAATTATGGAACATCTTTGTAAAATCTAAGAACCATAAGGTAAATTCTTCAACCAATTATCTCAGATTTCGTTGTTCCTTCGTTTTCACACTAATCATTCTTTGTTCTTATTCTCTTTTCTTCGATCTTCTTAACATTCTACTATCAGGCATTTCACTTTCAACCGATGTGATGTACTACTTTTATCTGTTGACATCAGTAGTATATGCTACACTGCCATTGTATTTTTACATTTCTATTCACCTCTACTTGAATTAATCACCTTTTTCATACTATTTCATTATTCATGTGTGCTATCTTATCTGATCGTATATATATATATTTGTATTAGATACAATAACCTTTAGAACATTATTGTTTACTAAAGGTGAATTATTATTCGGTAAACTAAATCATAAACATACAATGAATGATCAGAAAAACAAAATGTTAACTTATAATCTGTTCACAATCTATAATGATTAGTAGAGATATTTGGAAAGTTCTATTTATATTTGATTATGTTTTTGTATATCAAAAAGGTAAAAGCATTTCCGAACAATTGGTTATGCAAAATACTTTGAATCCTTTGACCGAACACTATCAGTAACAAATCAAATCTCAGCGGAGAAAGAAATCAGGAAGAAGCGCTGGAAGTGGATAGGACACACATTGAGGAAAGCACCGAACTGCGTCATAAGACAAGCCCTCATATGGAATCCTGAAGGCCGAAGGAGGAGAGGAAGACCAAAGAACACATTACACTGAGAAACGAAGATAGACAAACATGAGAAAAATGAATAACAATTGGATAGAACTAGAAAAGAAGGCCAAGGACAGAGTGGGTTGGAGAATGCTGGTCGGCGGCCTATGCTCCATTGGGAGTAACAGGCGTAAGTAAGTAATTGAGATAATAAAACAGAACAGGTTATTCTTTTTGGTGAATTTCTATTGAATATAAAGTTTAAATTTTGTGGAAAATTTGATATTTTCTACTTTCATGTAGTTTCATCTATCTGTGACATTTTAAACGGATTAACAAAATACCAAAGTGTAAATATTTTTAGTGAAATTCATTTAGTTACTTATGAGTAGTTAAAATGTATAAACACAATTTATTACAGAAGGCTTTTTATGGCCCGTTTATTTGACTACGGTTTGATCGAATAATAATAGTATTAACGAAAAATACATACCGGTTACGTTTATATGTAATTATCAACTTAATCTGTGCTAGATAATAATGGAATAAAATAAGTCAAGTGCGTGAATCAATTTGGGATACGTATATTTTGTAAACGGATTGCTCCAGACAGACAATCATAGAAACGAATTAGAGGAACAGACCTGAGAAAGCAAACATGTCAGCTCTATTTTGGTCAAGCTTATCTCAACATTTGTAGGCAGACAAAATAAGCTAAAGACGGATGATGGATAGAATGAACGATGTACACATATGCTCATATAAAAACAGTCAAGGTTGATAAGCGAATAGTAGGAACAATAAGAACTTAACACCTAGACAATATCCTAAAAAAGCATCAACAGTTGAAAAGGAAATTCTTTTTATGAATATTGAATATATAGAAAGTACGGTTGATGAAATAATGAATAAACGGATTTTGAAATCCCTGAATAAAACCTTCTACCCAGCTAACAACCGAATTGTCTTCTCAAGACGGCCTACCATTCACGGATATGTTAAGGATAAGCTTCCAATTTGGATCATATCGATGTTCATCTATAAATTTAGCTGTCCCTGTGGTAGAGGTTACATCGGGCGCTTAAAACAATCACTTTCCAAACAAAACAGTTATGAATTCAATACAGGAGCATCTAATCAACTCTGAACGCGTTACTCCGAAGGAGTTTTGCTTTAAAATAATCTATACAGTCAAAGGATCAAAGGTAGGTCGAATCACTAATTTATTCACTGCTTTAGAGTTGTCGATCTACCAATTCAAAACGATACACCCAACCTCTCATCGTTCTTCAGTTCTGATTTTCAACTGTAATCAGTTATTAATACCCTTTAAACAAGTTTTCTTGATTATTATTATTCAGTTTTTTATGATTATGACCTTGATGTTTTTTGTTCTTCTTTATATCTGTCAAGTGAACAATTATCTTTCATCATATTGATCCTTCTCATCCTACAATTGTTCTCTAACCACCCCCCCCGCTCACCGGATTATTGCATAACCTCATCTGATAATAAGAGTTACCAATCAATTTATGAGCCAATCTTTCCTGTCTTTCTATAGACTCATATATTTACCACACAACTATGAATACGAATGTACAGCTTAAGTAAATGATTTCATCGAAAAGAAAAAAATTTCCTTTGTTCAATTCAATGGCAAATAATTGGCAAGGTTGAAGTGTGGCTTAAGAAGAATAAATAAATTGGTCTGTCCTGAAGTGAGAATATCCCATATGGAACTGAGATAGTACTAGACACTATAGAATGAAGGAGTTTCTATGTTGTTGGACTAATCAGTCATCAATTAATAATTCCAATAGTTGAATTTATGAGTCAACTAAAGCCATGGAAAACCTAGAAGCATTGGATGGCTGTTTCGTCTTATTGTAGGACTCATCATCAGTGCGCATCCACGACCACGGCTCGTGAGATCCGAACATAGAACATATCAGTCTCACGCGCAAGCGCTTAACCCTTAGACCACTGAACTGGCCTCCATCAGTTTTACTATCTTACTTCAACTAATTCACGAAATCGAGTCACCATTTATCATTGTATTCAGCGAGTTTCTATCCCACAGCAAACCGGTTGATCCACCACTGGCCGTTACTTCAAAATAAAACTATGTTGAACTTGATATTTATTGAATCAAATGTCAATAGATGAAGGAAAGTGAAGAGGCATAATCACACAATATAAACAAAACATTTTAACTGATCTATTTATCTAACTGATCAATTTCCATTGAATTCACAATCACAAAACTAGTGGGTGCATGTGTGTGCGTGTGTGTAGATGTTACATTAATGGAAACGGTAATAGGTGATTCAGTGAATCGTACCGATTTAGAATAGAATAGAATGTGTTTATGCAATATGATCCGTTCATGGGATTGGTTTGAATAGTTTCAAGGCCGCCATCTTAGTTGATTTGTTTCATTATATTGTTGTTTTTTTTAGATCATTGTTTGATGTTGAATGATTAGACATACTGAACTACACACCAGATATTCAAGCAGAAATTTATAAACCTGGGTTTTACTAGGACTACTTAATTAATGATAAACTCTTAACAAATTAAATCTATGTATGACATCTTTACTCATTCTTATAGTGGAAAATCAAATTATCAATTCTTGATTGAGATCATGAACCGATTGATGTTAGATCACCATCATCTCAATCAAAAACTTAATCATCTCCACAACCCTTATACTGATCTTCTAACCTACTTATTGATTCCTTAAATTTTATACTACTATGAGTAGTTAAAATTTAAACGTTAAATTTTCCCACCCCTTTATACTAACGAACGATTAATGAATCATAAAACTCATTGCAAATATAGAAGATAATGTAGTTTTTTTTTGAAAAATAGACTCATTCAACAAATATTTACAAAACGTTTAAGGATAACTATGAAAAACAAGAGAAATATTGAGAAAAGAAACCAAAAAAGAAAAAGCAAAACAATACAAATACAAATTAGCATTGATAATTTTCATTTGAACAGTTGCTATGTGTGTTTTTGGAAAAATTAATCGATGATACTGGTAAAGATGACGATGTTGTTATCGATGTTGTCATTGTTATATATTTGTTCCTTGAATTCATAACAGATAAAACAGCTAAATCATTAAAATCATCTGTATCTTGACGATTACGAAATCCTTTAGCAAATGGATTATTATTAATTTTTATACGTATTACATCTGGATTTTGATAAGCTGTAACTGTATAAAATTGTGTACCAGGTATTATATAAGAACCAATTAATTCTAATTGATTTGATGGATTAGATATTGCTGATGAATTAGTTGTTGGATAATATGGATTTGATTGATTATCAATAAAATTCTTTAGACGAACAATAGAAATTCTTGGAATATAATAATGCATACTATGAACATGAATCTAGTTTATTGGGAAAGAAACAAAAAATAGAGAAAAAAAGAAATCGACAATTGACAATTAAGAAATATGTTCACTGCTGAGGAGTCCCACAAGAGGACGAAACATCTATCCAGTGCTTCCAAGTTTTCAGTAGTGATCTAACATCATTCAGTTCATGATCTTAATTAACAACTTAATAATCTCCACAACCCTATAGTGATAACGAATCAAGAAAAATTCTATCAATCAACCTACAATGTAGCTATTGTTATGTATTCTCATCGCTTCTATGATATTTGTCCCATTATAACAGATATTAATCTGAATGACGACATCATATACACTACACAGAAATGTTAAGTGACTAGAAGTAGTCAACAGCGCTGACTCCTGAATACCATCAATCACCTGTCAGCTGATGTATTGTTGACTTACATAGAGTAAACAAGGTGATAATCGCATTCGTTCTTTGTCTTCATTTAAATTTTGAGTTTATTGTCATTCTTATACATTGTATTCATCCTATTTTAAATAATACCCCTAATGTTTAGCTTTCTTTAAAATGGAGATAATGATTTCATTTCCTTCATGTATCATCATTATTTTTCTGGTAAGCGTTTTATTGCGAATTATTTTTCTACGGGATGGGCGTGATAACCCGATTGCCTAACCCTCCTCCTTTATCTGGACTTTGGACCGACAATAGCCGCAGAGGGGCTTTAGGTGGAGTTCTGTTGGATAGAACTAGAAACGAAGGTCCAGGACAGTGTAGGTTTGAGATTAATTTGAATTAATCTCTTTTGTTTGATAAATTGAAGCTAAATGCTTATCATAGTAAGTTACATGTTGTTCATCAGCAGTTAACAGATAGATGATATAATTGATGGTAAGACTATAATTTATGGACGACTATTGAGTGACACTGAAGTGACCTTGAGAGTATTCACCTAATAACCATGACCAAATGAAGGTTATAAACCTGTTTAAGGCATTCGAATTATGGTTTACAGTTAGTAGCTAAGGGTTAGGAGTTAGACTTAAGGGTTTTCATCATGAACTGTGACATCGGCTAGAATGTCTAAACGTTATTTTGTCAAATGGATTAGACAAATGATCATTATTAAGTGATTTCTGTCAAAATATACATATAGGCTATCCATGTATGTAATAATCGACTTAATCCGCATTAGTGAATAACGTAATTAAATTGCAATACTTGAAATCATGAGTCAATTAAAGCTAGACCACCATGGAAAACCTAGAAGCAGTGGACGGCCGTTTCGCCCTACTGTTGTGAGATATCACCTCACTGAAGACAATGGTGACGGTGACGCAACTTCGTGGATTGGTTGAAGTTAGACATTAACACTGTTGGATGCTGGCCAACTCAGTGGTCTAGTTGGTTAAGCGCCTGGCACGAGACTGATAGGTCCTGGGTACGAATCCTACTAGGGGAGGGATCGTGGATGCACACTGCTGAGGAGTCCCACAATGGGACGAAACGGTCGTCCAGTGCTTCCAGGTTTTCCACGGTGGTCTAGCTTCAACTGACTCATGATTTCAACTATTGAAATTACCAATTCTCCACAAAACACCTTCTAATAGTAATTAAATTAGTCAAATATAAGAATGAATGTTTGAACGTGTATATTTTGTATACTCATTGATCTGAACAAGAAATGAGAGGAATAAAGCAAAAAAAAAAGAAGAGGAAAGAGATCAAAGCGAAACGAAATGATACATGGTAGGGGGGATGCGCATGCCAACTCCCTTTTAGTTAAGTGTTATTCAATATTTATAGCTGAAGAAAAATAAGCTACAGATATATGATGAATACATGGAATCTTCAAAGCCAAAGGAGAAGAGTAATATCAAAGAACACATTACGCCAAGAAATGGAGACAGACATGAACAAAATGAACAACAATCAGATAGAACTAGAAAAGAAGGTCCAGGACAGAGTGGGTCGTAGAATCCTGGTCGGCGGCCTATGCTCCATCGGGAGTAACAGGAGTAACTAACTAATTAAGTATGTATGTGATGAATAGGATAAGAAGTGTACACTCACATACACTGAAAGTTGATAAGTGAATAATTAACCAAATCAAAATGTGACTCAAAAAGTGCGAATAGATCAACCTATCGAGAAGCTAGAATATGGTATATGGAGTTACCATAGTAACTGACATAACATCACCTATATGTACATTGAAGAAATGTAGTTTAAGTATAAAAAAAAGAAACATAAGCTTACCATATTCTTATTTGGTTTTATTTCTTTATTATTTGTAATTTTAACACGAGTAAAATTTACACCAGATTCCATCCAATATGCACCAGTTTTAGGGGATTCTTCTTGTATATAATATTTACCATCTAAAATAAAGAAGAAGAAAGTAAAAGAAGGGTACAGCAGGTTCACCACTAGCTTCTATCCTGATCCATATCTGATAATGTTTCTAGCCATTGTATTGCATCATCTCTCGGACCCCAGCCAGGAAGTCGTCAATGGTCAACAGAAGCTAGTCATTTGTAACTATATTTCATACCACTACACCATGTCATACATTGATCACTTCTCCGCTTTTTTCAATCAGTTCCAGCGTGGAATTCTCTGAGATGACATTCGTAGTAGAACATGTCCAAGCCACCGAGAACTTGATGTTTCAAGATGGTGACACCGATTGAATTATTGTCACATTAAAACATATAGACAATCTAATAAATAATCTAAATAAACAATAATGAGACTAATTTATGAATGAACTAATCAAGTATAAGATAACAGGTTTCAGATTTTGGTATGATGAATAGAGTTTCGACATTCTAGCTGATGTCATAGTTTATAATGAAAACTATCAATAGTTAATCTACATTGGAATTCCTCATTTATTTATTTTAACACATAGATATTGGTACAAGAAGGCACCAAATATAAATGCGCCACACAAATCTCAATTGATTTGTGTGAGGGCTGTGATACTGCCCGCGTGCCCAAACCGAAGCAGGGGGTTTTCTTAGGGAACACCCCTCGAGCCTTCGACCTAAATATCTGACCCACAAGGCAGTGGAGCATCGTAAGGAGATGCAGTCCTATGGTAGCCGGTGACCAACGATTGGTTCATACGCCATTTGTTCCTTCAGGATACTGGAGCCCATATGCATCATTGGTTTGGGATCCGGTTAAAGCGCCAGACATTCTCTTTTCGTCGTCTCATTTTTGTAGACAACACCCCCTCCACGTGAAGGCAGTGAGTAGGACTTCCCTGTCAGAGGCTATATACGCGTGGCTATGTGAGAGTATTTCGATAGGAAGAGCGGACTCTCCCCACTCTCGGCCGTACCAAGGCATTTGGAGGCCATATTAGTTTATATTAGTTTATATTAGTTAATAACTCTCATTTGATCCTAGTTATTGAGTGAACACTTTTAGGGTCACGGTAGTGTCACTTAATAGTCGTCTATTCATTAAAAGCGTATTCATACTTACCTAATGTTTGGGGATTATTTAGTACTTCCGATTGACTACTAATAATCCAACGATCACCTTGATGTTTAAATATATGAGGTTGTATTAATAGCATATCCATTAAGAAAATATACTGATCAGTTGGATTTAAACCAAATACATCAATGGATAATGATGGAAATATACGTCTAAATAAGCAAGAAAAGAAATAAGAAAGATTTTAAAAGATAGTTGATAATGGAATTCATTAAATAAACAATAATTTTTATAATATAAATGTGTAAATTCTAGTTGCTAAGTGGATTACGCAATGGCACTTGTTACTAGGTTTGAATGTCAACTCTAAGATTTAGGTAGATCCAACTTGTGGGGCCCCTTGTTTTATCATTATTTAGATCGGGTGATGTTGTTGAATGGCTTTTCACTTTAGTGGCCTGAGATCTGACTCCAAGTTGATCGTATGAATGATCCTTGTATATAATCATTGACTTAAATCACGTTAGTCAATAACGGAATTAAATAAGTCAAATAACGAGAATGGAACTTTGGATACATATATTTTGTATAATCATTGATAGGACAAACGAACAAGAGAACGACGCGAAGAGAAGAAAGCAAAGCTAAATTGACGCGCGGTGGAGATGGCTGGTAAGCCAATTCCCATTTAACCAAACGTTAATCAATATTTATAGGCATACAAAAATAAGTTACACACATGTGATGAATAATAGGATAAGAAGTGTACATACACCTACGCGTTCATATAAAGACAGTCAAGATTGATGAGCGAATAATTAACAAGGTTAGGATGTGGCTCAAGTAGAATGAATAGAATTGGCTGTCTGGAAGCTAGAATAAGGTATTTGGGCTTAACATAATAACAGACACTATAAACTGACGAGTTTCAAATAAGACGAAACATGCATCTTGAACTAATCTTTGTTTTCCTAATCTCTTTAAAACTCTAGTTTATGTTTGGTTGAGTGATTTTATTATTTAACACATAAGTATAGGTACAGGGAGGCACCAAATACATATGCGCCACACGAATCTCAATTGATTTGTTTGAGGGCTGTGATACTGTCCGGGTGCCCAAACCAAAGCAGGTGGTTTTCTCAGGGGGCCACACCCGGAGCCTTCGACCTGAAAAACTGATCCACAAGGCAGTGGAGCATCGTAAGGAGATGCAGTCCTATGGTAGCCAGTGTTTAACGATTGGTTCATACGCCATTTGTTCCTTCAGGATACTGGAGCCCATGTGCATCATTGGTTTGGGATCCGGTTAAAGCGCCGAATATTCGCTTTTCGTCTTCTCATTTTCGTAAACAACACCCGTGGTGTGAGAAGGCAGTGAGTAGGACTTCCCTGTCAGAGGCTATATACGCGTGGCTATGTGAGAGTATTTCGAGAGGGAGAGCTGACTCGCCCCACTCTCGACCGTACCAGGGCATTTGGTTACATTCAACTCTTAACCAGTAAACTATAAATGTCAATACTAATTTGATGTTAGTAGTCAAGTATACAGATCACTAGTAATTATATCAATCACTTATACCTTGTTGAAGTAAACATAAATTTCATAGTTTACAGCATCGACTGAATTTCGTTAGACATTAGTTAAAAATTATGAACTCGCTTAACATGCGAGAGGGCCCGAAATCGTTGCCCGGCACTTCCACATTGCAACAACGAGTTGCCCCCGAATGCCCTGGTACGGCCGAGAGTGGAGAGTCCGCTCACCCTCTCGAAATGCTCTCACATGACCACGCGTATATAGCCTCTGCCAGGGAAGTCCTACTCACTGCCTTCTCGTGGCGGGGTTGTTGTTTACGAAAACAAGAAGACCAAAAGCGGATTTCTGGCGCATTAATCGGGTTGGTGGACATGGAGATTTAATCTAAGGGAGTTGGAAAACGCTGATTCAAAACCAATGGTGTACATGAACTCCAGGGCCATGAGGGAACAAATGGTGTATGAACCAGTCGTTGGTTACCGGCTACCATAGGACTGCATCTCCTTACGATGCTCCACTGCCTTGTGGATCAGATATTCAGGTCGAAGGCTCGAGGGGTGTTCCCTAAGAAAACCCCCTGCTTCGGTTTGGGCACGCGGGCAGTATCACAGCCTTCACACAAATCAATTGAGATTCGTGTGGCGCATTTATATTTGGTGCCTTCTTGTACCAATATCTATGTGTTCAAATAAATAAATAAATGACCAGTTACCAAGGTATCTCATTCAAGGACAATAACAATTGTCTTCGACCTTTCTGGTGCTTAATAATTATCGAATCTATAATTCACTTGATATTGTTTTACTTGAATATTCCAATTCATGTTTAAGACTGAAATTGATCAGTCTCTTATTGGCATATGTGCATACTGTGCTTGTGGCCTCGATATTGCCTTAATTTACAAGCATTATAAACAATGATGAACTCAGTAGCTATGTGGATAATGCGATAGCGTTCGAAGTGAACGGTACTGGGTTCGAGCCACAGAATGAGCATCAACTCTAAGATGCAGGTACATCCAGCTGACGAGTTCCAAAATGGACGAAACACGCGTCAAAACTAGATTCCACTGTTAGCCATTATCCATCTTTGATCATAATATCTAATCTATAATTTAAACTAAAAGGTGTTCATTAATGTTGATCTATTCATATTTGGAATTTATTCTGTGAATTGTTCATCTTTTTTATAAAATCAATTCAGAAACATAATTTACTAGTTAGAGATAATGTATAAGGAACTCTTGGCATTCGTCAGTAAAGTAGAACTACCATTATGAGGGATCTATTACCTCCCCCCTCTGACAGATTCAATCCAATGTCAATCAGTTTCATAGTCAGACACGTTATTACTGAGCTATTTGGGTCATGGCTGACCTCCTGTAAGTTTGAGATATATTAACATTTGATCGACCAATGCCATTGATGTAAAGTTCTTTAGTGCTAATTGAAATTGATCAATCAAATGATGATTAGTCTAAGTGACTTGACATTGTGTACATTACGTTAAATTGTAAGGTGATGGTTAGAGATAATCCACTGGATACCTTAAATATAAACGTTTGATAATGTGTGATTTAGAATACTGAAAATAGCACCAAACTACTTTAATCATTTTGATTGAGATCATGAAGCAATTGATGTGAGACCACCATTGAAAACCTGGAAGGACTGGACGGCCTTTTCGTCCTATTATGGGACTCCTCATCAGTGTTATAATCATTTGTCTGTTTATATTTTATTGCTAATGATCCATTCAGGAGTAAAAATGATAAGCTATTATTAATAAACAGACTCTATTTATTTTTTCTTACATTTACATGTATCATACAAAGTGAATAGGTTAGTAACTAGATTGGTAGATAAGTTAAACAAATCGTTGATGTTTCAGATGATGAGTAATAGGTACCAATGTTAGTGTAATTCGGTGATAAATCCGAAAGATGAATCAAATGTTACTCTTTACAATTAATTAATCACTGGGTAGTGATCAATGGCATGTATGTCAGGTCCTTCTTACTGTAGATTGAATCCTATCGATCAATTTGCAATATGCCCACCAGTCTAGGTGACTCGACATCGCATACACTATGTTGAGATTTAAGGTGATGGTTGCAACTAGTCAACAAGAAACCCTTAACCTAGGTTTCATGCTACTTGACACTCATCATTCATGTATACCTGTGTTATTCTTGAGGGAACTGATGCTCCCTGACGGATTTGATCCCGTGTCATCCAGCTTCACAGTCAAAGATTTTACCATTAGGCTAATGATCACTGGCTAGTGATCAATGGCATGTATGTCAGGTCCTTCTTACTGCAGATCTAGTCCTATCATTCAAATTGCAATGTATCCTCTAATCTACGTGATTTAACATTACGCACACTATGTTGAAATGTAAGGTGATGGTTGCAAGTAGTCAACACGAAACCGTCAACTTAGGTTTGGCACTCATCAATAAAGTGTACCTGTATTATTCTTAAAGGAAGTGATTCTCCCTAACATTACTCTTCAATTATTCCCACTTAGTTACTATTCCTATAAATCTATCTGTTTAAAACACAAAGACACAAACATACACACACACACACACTTTGGGTTGCTATATCAACTAACCTTCCTGTATTTGTAGCTATCATTTCAGTATTATGTAAATATATATCTGACCAAATTTTTTGTTCTTTTAATTGAAAATAAATAGGATTATTCATTGAATTATGATTACTATCATTATTATTATTATTAATACATATCGTTTGAAATTGTCCCATTGTATTGGATGGATTAAATTGTTGAAGGATATCATGAATTTCATTACATGTTATCAATGGAAGTAAACTACTTAATTGTTCATTAGTAATATAAAATAATTTAGTTAATTTTGTTGTTGTTGTTGCTTTAGATTGTTGTTGTTGTTGTTGTTGGGATGATGGGGATGACCGTTGTTGTTGTTGCTGGGGTAATATTGATTTTAATCGATTTTTATAATTTATTGTTTCATGTTTTTTATATTGTTTTCTTTTATGTATCATAAATTGTTCATGATTATCATGATAATTATGATCATTATAATTATCATTAATATTGATATATTGATTATAAGATGGAATATAAGATTCATTGAATGATTTTGTAGAATTCTCTTGAAAATATTGATTATTATTCATTGTTTCATAGATAGAATTGCATTGATAATTCATGATAGTTTGAGGATAATTTTTCCAATTTAATTGATTGATTGATTGATTAAAATTTGATTGAGATTTTGTAACTAAGGAATAAGTACTATCTAATGAACATAATTGACAATCGAAATATTGATTTTTTGTTTCATTCATTAAATAAGATTGAGATTTATTAAATGTATTTAATTGATATGTTTGTAATTTCTTATTATGATGATCATAATGATCATGATCATTATGATCATCATAAGTCATAGGATATGTGATTGATTGTTCATTATGATGTATAGGTGTAATATGTTGATGTAATTTCATGAATATATTATCATTATTATTATATTGATTATTGATTATACTACTACTATTATTATTATTATTCATATAAGTAGTATCTAATGATTGAATAGGAGTATTATATGATATATGATATGGATCAATATTTAATCCTTCTTGAATAGATTGAATATTTTTAGTCATATCTATTGTATTATAGGATTCGATTATATTATCATAGAAACTATTATTATGAATTGGATATTTATATAACATTTCATCTAATTGATTATATTGAACATTATGAAATTCTTGAAATGTTTTCTGTTCATTTTGTTCATATTCTATCTGTTGTTGTTGTTGTTGTTGTTGTGGTGGTGGTGGTGGTAATGGTGATGGAGGTGATGTTAGTGCTTGTTGTTGTGATTGTTGCTCTTGTTGCTGTGAAATATTCATATCTGTTGAACAATTTGTATAAGAATAATGTACATATTCATTATGTTTCCATGATGGACTTATACAACTATTATTCGTTAAAATTGATTCACAACTCATTGTTGTTGTTGTTGTTGCTACTGCTGTTACTGTTGCTGCTATTGCTGTTGTTCTTGTTGTTGTTGTTGATGTTTGTGATAATTGAGATAACCAATCAATATGAGTATTATATTCATTTGATAAATTAAAATAACTTGATAAATTATTCAATGTTTCAATACTTGATGTTGATTCATCAAAATTCAATTGTGATGAAGTTATATTATATATATCGAATTGTTTCAATGTTTCATATCCTTCATGATTATTGACTTGTACTTCTATTTCTATTTGTTGATGTTTTTGTTCTTGTTCTTCTTCTACTTCATCTTCTACTTCTTCTTGTACTTCTTCTTGTACTTCTTCTTGTACTTTATCCAATAATATATTTGATAATTTCTCAATTGTATTCATATTATCATTATACTGAAGTTCTGATGATGATGATGATGATGACGATGATGATGGTATATGCCTTACATTATAATGAAATGAATTTGTTGATATATTCAATAGATCATTAGTATTTTGAATAGAAATTATGTTTTCATTTGTATTCATTTGTAAATGATTTAAAGTAGTCGGTGTTGAATATGCTGAAGGATAATGAAACTCCATGGATACAATGATTATAATTATTGATTGATTCTTTTTGTATTAAGTTCTATACATATAAACAAAGTGATCTGTGATTAATTTAATCAATATTCAATATTTTGATAAAACAAATTTGATAAAGTTTTATTCTTTGAGTTGAATGGTTCAATCGTGAAACTTTCATTTATCAAGTCTACAATGATATGATATTACGATTAAACCATACAGTTCAAAGAATAAAACTCTATTTGAAATTAATTCAGCTGACCTTATTTCATTTTTCATTTGAACACATAAATATTAGTACAAGGAGGTACCAAATAGATATGCACTAAACAAATTTTCATTTTATTTGTGTGTGTGTGGGCTGTGATACAGCTCGGGTGCCCAGACCGAAGCAGGTGGTTTTCTTAGGGGGTCACAATCCGAGCCTTCGACCTGAAGATCTGATCCACAAGTCAATGGAGCATCGTAAGGAGATGCAGTCCTTTGGTAGCCGGTGATCAACGATTGGTTCATACACCATTTGTTTCTTGCAGGATACTGGAGCCCATGTGCATCATTGGTTTGGGATCCGGTTAAAGCGCCGAATATTCGCTTTTCGTCTTCTCATTTTCGTAAACAACACCCGTGGTGTGAGAAGGCAGTGAGTAGGACTTCCCTGTCAGAGACTGTATACGCGTGGCTATGTGAGAGCATTTCGAGAGGGAGGGCGGGCCCACCCCACTCTCGGCCACACCAGGGCATTTGGGGGCCTAGAAATATACTATCCCGTTACAAATGATTCATTTAGAGATTTTATTAGAGATGCTGAAATTACAGTAGAATGTATTTCAACAAGTTACCATTTCTTACTTCTTGAGCAATCCTGACAATAACAATACTAGGAAATCGACATCTAAATAACGTACATTCTTTTCGTTATATATTGACAACCATGAGGACGTGTCTGATTGAGTTGTTTTATACCTTGTACAGTAAACCATCCTAAGCTTTCCACAAAACTCAACTGAATAGGTTATGCGACTATTAGACATAATGATATGTTAAAACAAACAAGAAAGCAGATAACATATTGAATATATATCCAAATGACAAGAACAAGTAATCCAGATATTCAATCAGACCGCCACAATTTTATCACTTTTCAAATTAGTATCAGAAGGTGTTTTTGTGGAGATTGTAGTAATTTCAACAGTTGAGATCATGAGTCAGTTGAAGCCAGAACACCATGGAAAACCTGGAAGCATTGGACGGCCGTTTCGTCCTGTCGTGGGACTCCTCAGTAGTGTGTATCCACGACCTCACCCCCTACGATATTCGAACCCAGGACCTACTGGTTTCGCGCGCGAAGACTTAACCACTAGACCACTGAGCCGGCATCTAACGGCGTTAATGTTTAACTTCAGCGAATCCACGAAATTCAGCGACACATCCACCATTGTCTTCAGTGAGTTACTATCTCACAACAGACCTGGTTGAACTCCACTAGTCACTAATTATCACTAGGACTCTAGGATATACCTCTTGAAGCCAATCACTAGTGAGCATATGATGATTAGTATCAGATCAAGATCATGATCTCAACTGTTGAAATTACTTCTCAAATTTCTTAATAGTCATTTACTCAAAAACCTCAAGCCTTCCGTCAACTAATGTTTAGTCTAGTACTTTCATATAATTATAATTAAGGTATAGAAAATAATATAATTTTAGTTACTACCTTAACTAACCATTATACGAATAGTCTTTTTATTATGTAGAATTCTTAAGTTATAATTAATGATTTCATTGGCACCCCCAACCAACCCCATCCTACCCCACCCCACCTCAGCTCACTCCATCCCTTCCTCATAAATAAACAAACTCTTAATTATGACCTATAGTCACTAATAATTCTACTTATTATTATTATTATTATTAATTACCAGTTTTATTTCTTTCTTTAATTTGTATTTAGTCAATTCCACAGGATAGAAAACCTACATCAAATAAGAAGGAAACTAAGTTACTAAGAGTTACCAAAGAGAAATTTAGTTGCCCATTGGTTACAGGTTTGTAATAGTGATCTAACATTGATCAATTCATGATTTTAACCACACAAACAAACAAATAAAAAACACAATTCAATACAACTATATATTGATAAATAATTAACCGTTTGATATATCAATAACATGGGATAATTATTGATTTTACAGGATAGATACAATTATAATTCATACTGTATGTTACGTAAGCTGGTAATCAATATGATATGACTACTTTTTGTGTTCCCCTTTTTTTTTTAAATAGGAGTAAACAACAACAAATTTTTTTTATAACTAATATTCATGTTTTATGATCTAATCAATATAGAAATCTTTATGATCTTCACAAAACCTCCCTTCTAATCCTCATCAACATATGCTTAATAGTGACTGGCTTCAAGAGATATTTTCTTGAGTTCTAATGAAAAGAAATGAATTGTGAAGATTAAACAGGTCTGTTTTGAGATAGTAACTGGCTGAAGACAATGGTGAATGTGTTACTGAATTTCATGGATTAGTTGAGGTTATACATTAATACCATTGGATGCAGGCTAGTTCAGTGGTCTAATGAATAAGCGTAAGCGCGAGAGACCGACTGGTCCTAAGTTTGAATCGTGGATGCACACTACTGAGTAGTCGTACAATAGGACGAAACGATCGTTCAATGCTTCTAGGTTTTCTATAGTGATCTAGTTTCAATTGACTCATGATCTCAACTATTTTTAAACTGGATGGGAACAATTTAAAAGTGAACATAAGGATTGTAGTAAATAGGATCAATTTTACAATGAAGAATGAAAATATTAATTGAAAAACTTTAATATAAGATATGATAATCATACATGAATTGATAGATAAAGAATAAATAGGAAATTTCATGAATGAAATCAAATATCTCTTCAGTATTCTTTGATTCGTGGTGTGTGCTACTGATGTCGACAGATATAAGTAGTATGTATCATCAATCAAACATGTAATGTTAGGAGGTAGAAGGTTAAGAAGATTGAAGAAAAGAGAATGAGAACAAAGAATGATTAGTGTTGAGACGAATGAACAATGAAGTTTGTGATGATTGATTGACATTTTGAAAATGAATTATTTACTGTATGGTTCTCAAGATAAATTAGCATAAGACATGCATCTATTTTTCAAACATCTTAACATTTCATATGCCTCCAAATGCCATGGTATAGCCGAGAGTAGGAAGAGTTAGTTTTCTTTCTCGAAATTCTCTTACATGCGCACGTGAACACAACCATTGCCAGAGAAATCCTATTCATGGCCTTGTTGAGGTGGAGGTGTTGTTTACGAAATTGAGAGGATGAAAAGCGAATGTCCAGCCCTTTAATAAGGTTTGTGGATGTCAAGGAACCACTTAGGGGAGTTAAAAAAAACTCTGATTTCAAACCAATGGTGCACATGAGCTCCACGATCCTATGAAAAAAAGGTGTATGAATCCACTGTTGGTCACCGACTACCATAGAAGTACATCTTCTGACGTTACTTCACTGCCATATGGATCAAACCTTCAGGTCGATGGCTCGAGGTGTGGCCCCCTAAGAAAACCGCCTGTTTTGGTTTTGGCACCAGGAAGGCATCCTAATCCTCACACAAATCAAATGGTTTATGTGGCGCATATCTATTTGGTGCCCCTTTGTACCAATGTTTATGTATTTAAATAAGTACTTATCGTTTGAAATCGTAATCATGATATAAGATTCATTTATTTTAATGAAATTCAAATATAAGAAATCAGTAGAACCATATTTGTGAAGCCCGTTATGCATCACCGGTAAACAAGGAGGATCAGATACAGATATAAGGGCGAGGCTTCGTAAAATAAGGGCCCAATTTCTAGAATCAAAGAACATATAGAATTCGAAACAGCTGTCAATCAATATCAAAGTCATGATCTTCAATACGAGCGTCAAGATAGTTCTATTGTACAGAGCTGAAATTGGAGAGCTACTAGAACTATCATTAAGAAGGTACATGTATTTGTAAATAATTGTCTACGCAATATAATCAACGTCCATCTGCCGGATACCATCAATATCAGCCTTCTGTGGGAGAGAAAAAACCAGCTTCCAGCTGAAGAGGAATTTAAGAAAAGATGATTAAAATGGATAGGACATACATTACTCAAACCATTAAACTACATCACATGGCAAGCCTTAATTTGAAATCCTGAAGGAAAGCGGAAAACCGGAAGGCCAAAGAACACATTAAAACGGGAAATAGAATCACATATGAAAAGGATAGAAAACAACTGGAAAGATCTAGAAAGAATTACCCAGAACAGGGTTGGATGAAGAGTGCTGATGTTTGACCTATGCTCCTCCACGAAGCGTAACAGGCGTAACTAAGTAAGTAAGTAAGTAAGAATCATTCTTCTTTTTAAAGCATAGATTTATGTATTCAACATGAGTTTATACAGTTTAGATGAATGAATGAATGAATGAATGAATGAATGTCAAGTCCTTTAACTTTTATACTCATCTTGATGCATTCATTTATCATAATTTAGATAATTACAAGTTAACAGAAGTTTAATGGCCAACAAACCCTTCAGTATAGATGTCTATTCATCGTATATAAAAGTGTTATTTAATAAAGAGATAAGTAGTTAAGTTAATTTAAATAGCCCCCCTCCCGCTATTTGTTTTCAAGTATATTTATCACTGAAATGTATTATTCAATGGTTAATTAATGTAATTTGAACTCATTACGTAATGAAGAAAAATATAAAAAGAAAGAGGAAGTCCAAAGAACACATTGAATCGGGAAATAGAATCAGATATGAAAAGGATGAATTGGAACTGGAAAGAGCTGGAAAGGATTGCCCAGGACAGAGTTGGGTGGAGAATGCTGTTGAGTGGCCTATGCTCCTTCACGAAGAGTAACAGGCATAAGTAAGTAAGTAAGGTAGTTATAATAAGAATGGAGTTTTGTGTAGATTGTAGTAATTTAAATAGTTGAATTCATGAATCA